ATATGAAATGAGAGAAATGGTCATGACTTTACTCAGCATGGCATGAGGCCCTCTTTGGCTCATCTATTGGGGGTGTCGCTTCTTAATGTTCCCGTCGCTTGACAGGGTTTTGGCCTTCCATGTCCAGCGGCTATCAAATTCCTTATAAACGAGTATTGACGGTTGCTCAGACATACGCAAATAAGATGCCCGCAATAAATTACCTCCGGAAGGCCAAGACAAATCTCCGCAAGAATGAAGGCAACAACATCATGGCAGACCCTCAAGTCCCGCCGCATCATCGTGAGCAAGATGGCCTCCCTCAAGTGGCCACGAAGACTCTTGCAGAGGTATTCGGCGATATCCCCGATAAACCTCCAAAATCCCGATCTATATCCAGAAGAGTATTGAGGAGCAGTTCGATACGCCCGGGGGAGCACCGGAGGCCTCCGGGCTCAGAAACAAAGACCCAATGATGCTCAAAACTCGTTTCGCACCCCCAGACTGCCCAAACCTTGCTGTTAGGGATCTTCAGCATCATTGAGTCAATTTTCAATATTCAAGGACTTACTGCTGCAGATTTTGGAACGGCTTTCAGGGCTTGGATGTTGTTGGCGAATATGTTTTAAAGCCTCCTCGTGTCCTAATAAAAGACGCTGCAGCATAGAGACTCCTCAATTGGCTCCCTGGTACCTCATGGGCACCTACACAACGGATAGTCACAGCATTTCCATTTGATTAAGAAAACGCTAGACTAGATCCAAGCTGGCTATGCTTCACTGTATACTACGACGACAAGCAGAGCGGCGTCATTGCTTATCCTGAGTAGAATCCATAGTGTGCGGATGCTGCAGGGCTAACCTGCTGGAGGTCTCGGACAAAAGCTGGCGACGGAGCAGCTGGGGCGGGGGGGTCAGCAAACGCGTAGTACCAGAGTAGCGAAGCTTAGGAAAGCAATACGCTGTTGCAGTCATCTTTGTGAATTTCCTTTTCGTTGTGTACTTCTATCTTCAGGAGTGCTGTTGGCGTGTGGCTTCGAACATCGAATCAGGTAGCATCCATGATTCACCCTTTTAGCATAAGTGCCAGGTAGTTGCATAGCCGCCAAGCTCATGCTCCAGCTGCGTTCAATTAAAATTGCATCCTGGCCAGGATACTCCGGTCGCGTGTGAATGAAATGATGCTTTTTGTTGTGGCTGTTCCTGTTGCTGCTGTTGTTGCTGCTGCTGTTCTGCCAGTCTTCCTCTCCATCCCTGCCATGTTCCCTCAACCTTTCTTTCTCGAATTTCCAGCTCTGACTATACCTTCCGAACCTGCTTTCCTGCACTTTTGTCCTTTCCCGTCCTTTCTTCTGCCCCTTCTGTCGATTTGGCTTAAGATGCGCGTCTTTACTTGTTCTGCCCGATCTCTTGCACTTCTCTTTGCTCTGTCTTTCGACCGCAAAGCTCAAGTTTGCAAAGAAACCATTTAAGACTGCATTTTACCCTCAAGCACTCAAGCATGTCTATCTTGCTAGCGACACTCCGACACCTCCACACCAACTTCCACCCAACAAAAGAATCCCGCCTCAGGACAGTACAGCTGCGAGACGTAAGACAGAGTCAGGGCCTGTCACTCCAAATGCACATGGAATCAAAGGCCATCCTTGAATTGAAGACTTGCTCTTGAATGCCTTGATGCGGGCAAGGTTCACATAAATCGGCTCTAGACATCAGGACATCAGAGCATGGTGCACTCTGTACCATTGAAGGTTGAAGGACTGTCAATTTCTACAAGTTGGCAACTCACCATTTGTTCAACCTCAAGCACGCTCAACCTTCAAAGCCCCAATGAACATGGGGAAGTACTTGTAGTTGCCACGATGCCTCCGTGACTGCAACCCGCTGCTCTGGGTCGAACCGGAGAGTCGCGCTCAGAAACTCCATGGCACTGGGGTTGGCCTCCAAAGCCAAAGCTTCAAGGCTTCCCCTCCTGGGCGAACTGTCTGATTCTGAGTCTGTGGCATTCGGGAACACCTCCTGCAAGCTCTGGGCCTTGGCAGCGTCGGCAGCGGGACGCAAGTAAGCCCAAGACTCCGCAAGCCTAGGCCACCGGCTGTTGTCGCCGGCAGAGATTCAATAAAGCGCCTGCAGTTCACCCAGAACTTCCACATGGAACTACTGCGGATGCTAACGATCCTGCATCAACTTTTTATACGACAGTGCCAAAGCTGTTAGGTAACTGGGCCGTGCACGAAGTTTAGTCTCCACTGGATCACACTCGCCGTACACGTTACAAGCTGAAACTTGTCGTGATAAGCTCCAATTTCCAGCTTGCGTGGTGTTGTCCCGTAACAATAACAAGGGAAGCGATTTACATTTAGGATCTACATAAGGCAAAGCATCGAATGCGCACGAATGATACCCTCAAGCTGGGAATTTGAAGGAAGGAAACTCAGGTCCAGCATGGACAGAAGATCTGTCAAGTCAAGGACGCACCTGCACTTCTCGTTCTTGATCTTATTCAGCTCCTGGCGCAAACTGCGATCCAAAAAATCCACTGAAGATTCAAAACGGACACTTCTCTAAAACCTCACCTCGGCACTGGGCTTCCCGAGGAAGGAGATGATGGACTGTGCATAAGCATGCATGATGTTTTTGATGCTTACATCCACGGGGTCTCCACTGAAATGTCTGTCACTTCCGTTTCACGAATGATAGCTGTTAGCTGGCCTGCAACTGGTGCTGCGTGTTGTGCCCCGGGAACAGCGGCTTCCGCTCCAGCATCTTGCACCGTCGACAAAATTTATCATAAAATGCGCTGGCTTCAGCAGCTCAACTCCCGAGCTCAAAAGAACATGCTTAGCAACGCATGACAACGTGTATATAAAAGCACGTGACGGTGTGAACGTTCAAGGATAGTGCCTCTGCAAAGATGCAGCCAATTGACCTCTTCGGCAGAAAATGCAAAGCTGGCGCATGACCAAAAGGCTGTATCTCGCACAAGGGCTCATGCACATTATTAGGTCAACTCCACAACTGCAAAAACGGGCGCCGCATGTGCTGTCTAGTCTGTCGGCGAGCGGCCAGATGTCGATGGCCGTCGTATAGTCCACCCAGGAACACAAGACCTTCTACACGGCGGCCGACGGCAAATTCAGAGAAACGCTGCAATGCGGCCTCTGGAGCCCGATACCAACGCGTGCAAACCTGAGCCCAACATACGATTCAAATCTCTGGAAACAATTTGGCGTGATGTGCTGGTGCGGGAAGCAAAGCCATGAGTACTCAGACTCCGACGTATTCTGTCATCGGACAGGTCTGAAACTCCTCAACACTGGCGACTAAAAGTTAATGTCCTTGCCCGGATGAAACAACCTTGCCCGCCAGAATGCTCAACTGGCCCCACTCCTTCGAGAAGCTCACCCTCGCTAGGCCAAAGTCACAGATCTTCAAGTCACCTCAACTGGCGGAGTCGATCAAGGACATTGTCAGATCCCTGACATAAGCTGTCAAGGAGCAGTTGCCGTTGACCAACAGGTTTCGTGGCCTGAAACGAGGAAGCTACTTGGGTCAGCAGACTTGCGATTAGGCAGCCACTTGTTATATTCTTATAGCCACCTTAAGTAGATAGAATATGGCCTTGGGTATCTTATAGCAGGATCCCTATCTACCCCATATTCTGTCTACTTAGGGGGACTATTACCAAATGTCGGCTTCTCAGCCCGGCCCAGCGTGCTTGAGTACTGAGCATCCCACTTGAGATCTCTGTGAATCACCTGTGGTGACCATCTGATATGTAGGAAGCAACACTTTGGACGAGACTGGAAAATGAAAGTCTTGACAGTGTAGAGCCAACTTCGCCTGTGCTGAGTGAACATACTTCATCCCGCGCAGGATTTGGTAGAGAAAGAACTGGCAATGATCATCCTGCCAGACAAAGTGACATTACAGATCTGATCATATTGATGCACTGCCCTTGTCTTGCCTAATTTGCTGAGCCCAGAACAGTAAGAGGCTGCGTCGATTTCAGAATCGATGCCAAATCCTTTCTGGGTTACAAAGGACTCTCAAACAGGGTGATGGTACTTGGGCTGTAAATGGCGCTGTTTGTAAAGCTTGGCCTCATCTTCTTGATTTCAAAACGCTCACTTTACAAAGCCACTGGAAATCTGATCAGGGGCTGCCACCGTTTCCATCAGCTCAGAGATCACGTAGATGTCCTTTTATCTGCAGTTCTACACAACCGGCTATCAAGGTACTCTTCCCGCCTCGAAGTCATCCTTTGACCCAGCCAGGAAAATATTCCTGCAGCATCCGGTGATACGTGTGGTAGCGTCAAACATCTAATCTATCTGATGTAAGCATCCCTCAACACGCCAATCATGTTGAAGTCTCCCACATTTGTGAACAAAATCTTGTAGCTCAAGTGCACATCGCCTCACATCGATCAAGTTCTCGTGCTGCAGGTGCCGGAGAATGCGTAGTTCACGGAGAGTCCGCTTCGTGACTCGGATGGGGAGCTTATTTGCACTCATTTTGCTTTGACTTCCAGGATGAGCTAGCACCACCCTCCGGTTTGTTCAAGGGGCAAACGCGTGCTAGGTGAACTCCATAAGACTGTGTCCATGTACTATCATGCATGATTTGACTACAGCGTGCCGAACATGAGTACGTCAACATCTCACTGTCCAGACATCCAAGTTCCAGGCAGGTGATATGCTCAAACCTAGGCGTCCAAGAATTCAGACCGAAGACAAGAAGGCGGTTCCCCTCTCCTTTTCCAAGGCACGCGTTCTCAATCTTCTTCACTGCAACTGACTCTTGTGTCTCCTCATCCTGTCGTCGTCACATTGAAGCACCTTCCGAAAGAGCCATATTCTGGAATGAGCCTGAAAACCCAAAGTGAGTAAGAAGCTTCTCAATGCAAACCATCAGACAACACCAAGGAATGCCAGCAAGCAGACTGAACAAATGACTGAGGTCATGTATGAACAACCAGTGGTATCTTGGTCCAACGCGAACAACCGCAAACCAGGTGGTAGATTTGTGTCAAAAGCATCTTACAACCTACGAATTTATTAGGAATCTTGCCTTCAAGACGCCTACGATCTAGCTTGGTGCCACACAACCTTTACCGCTCTGGATTTGTTACCTACATGATGTTTTGTCCTGCGCGGCACAAACGATGCCATAAGCACCCTGGCCCACTTGTTCCAGGACAGTGTACCTGACAACGAAAGCCAGCGCTCAACATGATAATCCATGGAATGCCAGGCTTGAATCAAATCTTTGCACAGCTTCAGAATGATATCAAAACAGGAAGCATTCCCGTGGAAGGGTCACAACACTCCCTGCGTCAAGAATCCCAACACTGCTGTCCTGGCCTCTTCGAGACCTGGAAATTGGTGCCATGAACGATGTAGCACGCCCTGAGCAAATTGACAAGTTTCCGACTGTCGAATAGTCATGACTCTGAAAGTAAATGATAACGTGAATTACAATGCTACTGCTTCGATATGAACACCAAAATGTCTAAACGTTATACGTGTTACCAAAACTGTCACCACCGGCTGCTACCTTCGCTGCGCAAATTTCCTGCAAACACAAGAAGCAAACCCGAGAGCCGGACGTGTCCAAGTTCAACGAGTTCAGCGACATGCAAATGAACAACGTGAAACAACAAGCCTCGCAAGACATTCACATATGCAAGCGAACATGGGGGCACGACCCTCTGCCACTTACGCAGTGTGACCATGATATGGCGCATGATGGATGAAACCCATCTTACACCATGCAAAGCACAAGCGTTGCCAAGCTTCCGACATCCCTCTGTTACGGCTGGGTTCCCAGTGCTACAGAGAGATCACCACGCTCAAAGCTGCAAAGCTGCCAGCAAGATCAGCACATTGTCGACAATGCCAACAAACTCTTCCATACCGACATGCCAACGCAAAAAAAAATCATGCTTTCACACACACATTACTATTTCGCGCAATTTTGAAAATCGATGGAGAATCGTTTGATGCGTTGAAGCTTGCCCAAAAAAATGATTTGTGGCAAACCGAAAACTTTCATGCGATTTGGCCACATCCGCCAGCACAAAACGCATGCACTCGGGGGCGTTCCCAACGGTTCTTGTCCGCAATGCTGTGATAAACATCGATCTGGAAATCTGTGGATGTTGCAAGCAAACCATACCGACTGCAGCTTATGGAGCCGCATGGTGCCTTTTTAACAACAATCAATAACTGCCTTTTTGTTTTGCCCACAACACACATTCCTCGTCTCCGAATACTGCTGCTGATCCATGCTCCATGAAAAACTCACCAACTGCTCTGAAAATGAGCGTCGTTTGTTTCTTTTAAACTTCATGCGTGGATGGGTAAAACCTTGCCCCAATTCTGGTTGACACAATTTCGGGAGAATGCAACTACCACACACCTACGGCACCTGCACCTGCAGCATATTCTGACCCCTTGCCCCGAAAGACTTCGAAACACATTTGGCTGTTGGCAGGAATGAACGAATCCACAATAACGTGTCAATTGGGACATAATGCCATGCACACATTGCTGCGTTGCATTGGCAGGGGCGCATCTTCCCCTTTTTTCGTGCCAGCGCATTCAGGGCGAATGTCACCCAACACGCTAGTCCATGGGATTCAGGTATCATAGCCGTTTGTCATTAAAGTGAGAATGTCGGCGTTGGGTGGGAATAGGGTCCGCGGCCACTTACCCCACGTGACCCACTTGACCCATTTGCCCCACTTGCTCCACTTGCCCCACTTCCCCCCTCATAATCTGGCCCTCTCAAATCCTGCTCCGGAGGCTCCAGATAAACCACTTAACAACCCCAAAACCACCCACTGCCCCGCTTGCCCCACTTGCTCGCCCCACTTGACCCACCACGAGGCTCCAAACCAACCACTGGAGGGCCCCAATAAAAACGCCTGCCCCTCTTGACCCACTAGTCACTAGCTCCACTTGCTCCACTTGCCCCACTTGCCCCACTTTGACCCACTTGACCCACTTGACCCGCTTGCCTCACTTGCCCCACTTGCCCCAACTGCCCCACTTCTCCTCTACTTAGACTCTACTTGCTGCGTTGCTGCACTTGTTCCACTTGCCTCAATTGCCCCTTGTCCACTTTGACCCACTTCACCCAATTGACCTACTTGCCCACCTGCCCCCACTTGCTCCACTTGTTCTCCCCCCTCAACCTACTTGCCCCGCTTGGGCAAGTGGGTCAAGTGGGGCAAGTGGGTCAAAGCGGGGCAACGTGCAAGTGGGTCAAAGTGGGGCAAATGGGGCAAGTGGGTCAAGTGGGGAAAGTGGGGCAAGTGGTTCGAATGGGGCAAGTGGGGCAAGTGGGTCAACTGGGGCAAGTGGGGCAAAGGGATCAATTGGTCAAGTGGGGCAAGTCGGGCAAGTGAAGTGGCTCAAGCGGGTCAATTGGGGCACACGTGGGGCAAGTGGGTCAAGTGGGGCAAGCGGGGCAAGTGGGGCGAGCGGGGCGCGCGTGGCGAGTTTGGCAAGTGGGACGGATGCCTTTCATGTTCCTCTCCTGCGGTCGCAATGGAAAAGGTGAAGGTCAGACACACACACACACAACCGTCAATGGCGACAGAGTCCGTCACGACGAGCGAGAGGCAGCTTGTGGCTCCTCTCTCGTTCTGAACATCAAAACTCCGGCGCAGCGCGCCCTCACGTCCATCAGGACACAACAGAGCTCCGGCTCGTACAATCCAACCGTACGCCAGGCCCTCACGCCCACGGCGGCACGGCGCATCAGAAGCGATCACACTTTGCAAGCAACTTGTGGTTCATTGATCATGTGTTCGTGCGTCTGACTTTTTCCCCACCAATAACTGAAGCTCACGTGACACACCGCCTGCAGGAGCCTGACCTCTCTTCTCCACAGCCCCTGTCAAACAGATGCCCTGCGACACTGCATTCATGAGCTCGTGGTGTTCCGGTGATGAGGTTAAATTCGCCCTTGCTAAAAAAGCCTTCTTCAGTTTGGCCACATACACCACGTCAGCGATTTTGTCAGGAGACATCATGAGAGCACGGTGCGAAGCTATGACGGCCTTCTGGGTTTCATCTAAAGCGTGTTGTCCAGCAATGTCCGCAATGGCTGCCCAAGCATACGCGCGCAACTCCCCTTCTGGCAACGCACCCCCGGATGCGCGGGCTTGCCTGCTCCTCCAGAAAGTCGCTGGCTCCACCCTTCACCGCAGTAATGATGGGGTTTGTGTTCGAAATCATGGCTAATTGAG